CCAGTCAGCCAGGCTGGCTGGGAAATTCTGGGAGTTGAAGTCCACCCTGCTTAAAGTAGCCAAGGTTGAGAAACACCGGTCTATGTGATGAAGATGCTGACAGCAGGCATAAACACCAGGGAGTCATACGCCGGAAAACAGCTAGGAGAGGAAACACCCATTGGGTACCAAGGGAAAGAGGAAGGAGTGGGAGTCAGATGAAGAAGGGGATGGGGCCATCAAAGAATGACTGAAATCTAGGCCGGGCAGCGTTCTTTCTGGGCTGAGGAGTCTGGCGTGTTCAAACACCCCTCTGCTCTTGGAAAGAAAACTGTGTTCAGAAAGATTAGCCTGTCACAAAAGGAGATTCCAGATGTGCACAGGCAGAGGTCGGCAGTCCTACGGGGCTACACCTTAAAAATAAAATAAGCCCTTGCAAAATTCTAGGGATCCCATCTCTGACACTTCTGTTGAGGACACCCCTAAGTCTCTGGAGCAGGGTTTCTCAACCGTGGCGACTTTAAGATGGGTGGCTGGGGAATTCTGGGAGTTGAAGTCCACCCATCGTAAAGTCGCCATGGTTGAGAAACCCTGCTCTGGAGAATACCAACATCCTGCAACAGGTCAGAATAGTCCTGGGATTTGGGGCACGCTTAAATTCGTTAGGGAGGTCCACCGTACAATCTACAGGGCGCCGGGCACCCAGAGACAGCTTGTCGCCGATTTCTGCTCTCCAGAACGCTCTCCACAGGGGACAGTGCGGACCCAAAGGCAGAACACCCGGAGCCCGCCCTAAGCTTGGACCACGATGCCTTCAGAAGCTGCAGAAGAAGCCGGCGGGGGACCGGCTAGAGTCTCTTCTTGATCAGCTTTTCCAGTTTGCGGATGCGCGACGACTCCTGCTCGGGCGTGGGGGCCGTCAGCGAGACACAGCCGCCACTCTCCGCCCCCGAGGGAAGAGCCGGGAGCCTCTGACGGAATAAATCCAACATGCTACTTTGCTCGCTTCGCTTGAGACCCTGTGGGGACACGGGGGGAGGGAGGAAAGAAGATGGCCATGCGACTCGGCACCCACGGCGGGCCTCAGATCTCGCCCTCGGATGGGCCTGGCAGGGCCCCAGTGCTTTGCCTTATTATTCCGTGTGGGGTTTATGGAGAAGGCCGTACGGAGAGAAAGTGGTAACAGGGATCCTGCTAAGGATGGGCTGCCCCCCTGCAGAGCATCTGGAAGCATCTGGAAGAGCGGCCTCCAGAGCATCTGGAAGATACACCTCCAGATGTGTCAGGAAGGCCACCTGGCTGGGAAGTTTGGGAGATGTGATGGAATGGAATTATGAAGGCCAGGCTCAGAGAGAGAAACATTTTCTTAGCTCGCCGGAGGAGCGTGGGAGCTACAACAGGATGAGACTGGCACCTCCCTGAGGAATTCACGCTGTTGTGGCTGGCTGGCTTGGGAGCTGGGGTTTCAGTCTGGGAAGATTCTTGTTAAAGGTTGTAGCTAATAAACATAGCTGAACCAAATTTGCATTGTCTCTTGGAGTTCCTTGGGCTAGGCCTGACAGGAGCTGTAGTAATGCAAAGCCGGCAAGATCCTTAGAGGGGTGTTGGGAAAGCTGAGTTATGTGGAATCTAAAAGAAAGTGGATTAGGGCAAACCTGGGTAGACTGACTGGCCTTCTTTTTAGCAAGACGTGCGTGGGGTGGAACCAAACTCGCCCTGGGCAAGCCAGCCCCCTCAGCACCCGTCCTCCCAAATTCTTCTATGCTCCAGAGCAAGTGGAATAGCCCCGGTCTTCCTCACTGCCCGCTGGCCACCACGCCCGGCTCACCTTCATCTCCAGAATCTTCTGGAAAGTATCGGTGGTGCAGTCCGACAGGAGTTTGATGTAGTTGTCCACAAACACCACAGCGGGCTCATGGGGGGCCATCACGACCTGCAGGGACAGAGAAACAGCCAACGGTCAGACAGACATCACGACCTGCAGGGACAGAGAAACAGCCAACGGTCAGACGGACGAGGCCCTTGGAGGGGGAGAGCCGGGATAGGGTCAGCCCTTCGAGGTAGTCCAGACTAGGAAACCAACATCATGCATGCTAAAACTACTTTTATTATAAAGGTTATAGTAACAGAATCTTGCAAGTCTGAATGCGCTTCCCCCCTCTATCTTTGTGAGAACTAGGGAGGTCCTTGCCTGATATATTTTCTCAGGTTATGTTCCTGCCCCGGGCTCAGTCCTCTTTTATCTGACCGTTGTTTTTGGAGTGGCACTTCCTCCTGCCCTTCAAAGCTATTCCCGCTGCCCTCTACACTTGGTCTGTGGTAGCCCAAAATCAGGAGGAGAAGGGTAGCACCTCTTCTGACAAACACGTTGGATGAAAAGGCAGTTTTCACACCCTGCCACTCACTTCCTCTGATGCCCAACATGGCCAGGTAGGCGTGGGATTTAAATTATATTTCGTTCTTATTTTGTTAATCCAGGGCTCACCTTACTGAGGAGGGAGCTAATGTTTCTGCAAAAATCAGGAGGAGTCTGGTAGCGCCTTTTCCCACTCAGACGTTTTATTAAAAGGCAGAAGCTTTCGTGAGCTGCAAGGGCTGAATTCTAGCCAAGTGGGAAGGCAGGTTCCCTCTGCAGCTCTCCAGCGATGAGCCCCGCGCCACGTTCTCATCCGATTCCCAAAAGGCGCTACCGGCCTCCTTCTGACTTTTTAGGGAAGAGCTTCTGCATCTCGGCATCCCAGAGCCACGAGGCAGAACCCCGGATGCGAGAAGCCCTCGGAGAACAGGGGAATGCAAGCTGCGATCCACCACAACCCTGCCGGACCCCACCCATGGCATCCTCGCCAGGCATGAAGCAGCTGCCACCAGCCTTCCCCATGATCTCACTGGAAATGCCAAAGGAATACCCACCCAGGGAAAAGGCGAACGCCTCACCTCCGGAACGGGGAATGGAATTTGGGGAATGAGGCCTTGCCGTCCCTTGCCTTTAAAAGCGAGCGACAGTCGGGGTTGAGAGGAAGGGGAAGAGAGGAAGCTGCAGAGACGGATGCAAGACCGGGCTGGCCGTGCCCCCTCCCTGCGCCTGCCTCTTCAACGTCGCCCTCGTTAGCTGCAAGCATGGAAGAAAGAAAAGGGGAACTCCCAGCCAATCTGGCATCAAATCATGTGGATCGCATTAAACTGGCTAGATTTGCTTGAGCTCTTGTATATTATACACCGCCCAGAGTTGTAATGGAGTTGGGCGACTTAGGCATTTCATAAAATTTTTAAAAAATGTGGAAAGCAGGCGGGGGGGAAGAGATCTCCCCCTCCTAAAATGACACACACAGCAAGCGTTTGCAACAGGCACTCTGGGCAAGATGCCGGTTTTCTTCAACTCGGTGCCCTAGAGACATTGGGGGGAGTTTAAGCCGGGGGGGGGGGAGGAGTGGCAGGGGATGATGGGAGTTGGTCCAACACCACTGGCGGGCTTCAGGCGGGAGGAAACCGATGCAGTGTATGGCAGTGCTAATGGAAGGAGTGACCCGCAGATTTTCACACCGGCCCCATAAGTGCAAGAGCATCTTCTTCCCTAGCAACATTTAAGGAAGACTTGCTGGACCCAAGTTATTTATGATTATTCAGTAGATTTCTAGCTTCCATTTCATGCAGGAGCTCAACGTGGCTCCCTCCTTCTATTTTTCCCCGTAACCAAAATGCTCTGAGGTGCCGATCTAAGAAAGTGGCCGGCTCAACGTCACTTCCTGAGCTTCTGTGGATGAGGGGGGAGCAGAACCCGGGTCTCCTGGTCCAGCAACTTCCCCCTGGACAGCCTGGGTCTGGGGCTGAGAGGGAGGGACTGGCCCCAAGTCCTCCAGGGAGCCTTCAGGGCTACGAGGGACTAGAACTTGGGTCTCCCCGTTTCAGGCCTGGCACCTCCACCATGCCATGGTCCTTCAACGCGGCTGCAGGCAGGCAGGCAGCCAGTCCCTTCTTCCGAGTTCTTTGGAGCTTTTAAAAGAGAGCGAGCTGGCCCGGAAGCGGCAAGGGGTGTACCTTGAGGATCATCTCGGCACGCGTCATGCCCTTGACCACGATCTTTGTGTAGCTGGCGGGCGCCTTCCTCACCACCTGCGAGCCGATGGATGGCAGATCTAGCAGGACCATTTTCAGGGAGTGCGTGTCCAGCAGTAGCTGAAGCAGATAATAAGAATGATGATGATGACGACGACAATGTGTCCTACAATCATACCAAGGTATGATACACTTCAGAAAAATACAGCACAGAACCAATCCATTAACATATCTTCACAACTTAACAGTCACATTACTAAACAAACGTGAACACGATACATATTTGAAATAAGGCCCTGTGATGCAACTGAACATGTATACATCTATAATTAACATAAACCAGGTTTTCATCCAGGAACTATCAAGAATGACACACCTAGAAAGGGATCTCCAGGTTTTACAGACTGGAAAAAGCAGTACTTAATTGCAAGACCCTCTGCAGGAACAGGGTTTACCTGGTTAGTCGGTTAACTTCGACAACTTTAACCAAACTCAGGATGTTATGCAGGTCTTTCACTGACTTGGATGCATTATAACTCATTGTTTCAAGTCAGTGAAAGGCCTGCATAACCCCCTAAGCCTGATTATGTTTATGGGAGCGTAGCTGCAAAGATGCACTTTTGTCGATGAGAATATATATGTATATATTTTGTATTGTTATTCTAACGTTTCACCTCAAAGGCAAAAGGGAGGGAAGAAGACAAGCAGGAAATTGCAAGATTGTAGGTTTTCCTTTGGGGTTTCGGGGTCCCGTTCCCCACGAGGTTGAGGAACGTAGGTTTGGAAGACACGATTCACAGGAAAGCCACGTTCACAAGGGTTATGACAGATCAAGTGACAATCATTTTATAAAAGCACTATGGCTGTCAAACAAATATTGCTAAGATATCCATGCTTAGAATGACTTTGAGTTAAAAGTTGGAACGCGGGGGGGGGGAAATGTTTGTCTCCTGTACTTCTAGGCCGCCGCGCTGGGTGTGTGTGGGCGTGGGTGCAGACAGATCAACGTGAGCTGTAAAACAATTAAAAGATTATAAATCACTGACTTTGTTAGCACTGGGAAACTGAAACTGCTTTTCTCTGCCTCTTAGGTTAAATAAAATAAGGAAAGACTGGATGCGATGGGACGCTCCCTCTTTCTATCAAATCCCCCTCAAACTCCCGTACGCGCCCTGGGACAAAGCAAGGGCAGAGGTGGGATTTCAACCCACGTCCCCAAAGAGAGGAAGCCTCAGTCCAGCAAGCTTCAAAACCACTTTCGAAAATAGGAGCCTACAGAGAGGAAACGTGGAAGGGTCTTGCCTAAAGCGTTTCAGGATGGGGGAAGAAGTCACGAAGGCTGTTTCCTGCAAGCAAAGCAGGTGGGGGCCATTTAAAGCCCTCCGAGAGGCAGGAAACACCCAGCAAAACCTCCACTCTGACTCTGATTCTCTACCGCAGTGGAAACAGAGCTCCCTCCTCAACAAACAGGGAGCAGAAGACGTTGGAACTGGAGGCAGAAAAATGGCAGGGCGTTTCCCACTGCGTGGGGTTCACAGTCTCCTCCCCCAGGCCACCCCACAGGGGAGGCCTGCACCCCAAGCCTGGTTCCTCGTGCAGGAGACCTGCCGCCCCCCTACTCAATTCACACAGGAACAGCTGCTACTCTGATCGGCAGCTGACCGCCCGGCCCGCCATAGTTGTATCTTGCACGAAGGCCACAGAGACAGGTGCACGCTTGCGTGTGGAGGGTGGAAACCTAAGGGCTGACAGGCCCCAACAGGTGCTGTTCTTGGATGAGAAGCGTGGGAGACCCCAAATCTGGATCGGCCTCTGGTTCGGTGGACCAGAAGAGCAGACGAGCGGGCTAGCTGGATGGACGGTGGGGCTCAGGGGCCTTGACTGGCTAAGACGAGTGGCCCAGAGTATAAAGGCACTGAGAGGCAACCTTGGGAAGGTAGGAGAGAGCTGTTAAGGAGAGACTTGGAGAAGCAGTTAGAGTCCAGAGACAGAAGGAAGCGTGAGAAAGAAACTCAAGATAACCCTGCCTTATTTGCCTTAGTAGAAGAGGAGGATGGCGATAAACCTGGACAGGCTTTCAAGATTCTGTTATCACACCCTACAGCAGGAAAGGAGCGCTCCTCAACTCCTGTAGAGCCTGTTTCTCGACCTGGCCCATGTCAAAGGACTACACAGAGTCCGTTGTCCCCCCCACCCCCCAATTTAGCCTGTCTTTGAGCAGCTCCTGCTCTTTTCAGCTGCACAAATGGAGAATACGGGGCTGACCTCTTCAGCCCAGCTCTTTGCAGAGCACTGCAGACCTCCTTCTTAACTGAGCCAGCTGGTACGGCCATCTCTGCTGGGGTGTCATTTTGGTTGCCACAGGAAACACTTGACAGCCAAAATCCCACAGCTGCCCACAAATCCCACAAGAGGGAAAAGCAGGTCCAGTCCTTTCCTTCCTTTTCCTCCTTCCTTTCCTCCTTTTTATTTCGCCTGCCTGCCTGCCTGCCTGCCTGCCTGCCTTTTTAAGGCTGATTACATTTAGAGAAAAGAGTTGAAACAACAAAGACCAACGATGAGGTTGGCAAAATCTCCATGGGGCAGAGCAAGGGGGCCCAGAAGCTCAACCCTTCCACCTTGTATCACCTCAGGATCCACCAACAAAAGCCAACGGGGCTGCGACCGGCAAGAGAGGAGATGGTTGTGTTTTAAAAAGGGAGGAGATGAAATCACAGGAGAGGAGGCACTATTTTAAAAAGTAAGAACCGAAGCAAGGCGTGGATTCTACATCTGAGCATCAGTCTAGCGGTCAGTTTTTGCAATTTCTCAGAGGCGTCCTGCTGTTCCCTGAACGAATCACATTCCTTCAATGTATTTTGGCTGTGCTACATGAGACATTCCTCATAAGCTCCACCTGGCACCAACTTGGGCAGTCACTCTGGGGCCAGGCTGGTGCTTAGCGGTTTCAGTTCATTCATATGAATTCGTCCTACTGCATCTGGAACTCTCTAATGAAACCCACACATGATGCTACTGTGATTTTCAGTGGTATCAACGAACTGCTCAGGGGGTCTAAAAAGACTGTGGTAAACCCAAACGATGCTGCGTTCTGATCAAGCCAGCTCTCCTGAGCACCCCCCACCCCCAGCTGCTTGCCAAGAACCCCTTCCCCGAATTTAAACTTGGATTCTCACCTGTTCGGCCCCCACCATGCTGATCGGCTTGCACTTGAAAAGGTGGTTAATAAACTTGGGGATGAAACAGCTGTGGGAAAGAGGGGAAGAAATTAAGACTGCCCGTTCTCCATCAACCTAAAGAAGAAAGATTTCTCTAACCCAACGTTTCTGAACCTCAGCAACATTAAGATGCTGCCTGGGGAATTTGGGGAGTTGAAGTCCACACATCTTAAAGTTGCTAAGGTTGAGAAATGCTGCTGTAGACATTGAAGCACATTCCCACAATTTACACTGGCCAATGTACCTGCTTAATCTGTCAACAGCATTGTTCTCATCGGAGGCATTTGAACTGCGCTGTTAATGAGTTGTTTTTAAATGGACTTCTAAATTTCCTCGGATGAGGGGAGAAGTTGCGAGACCCCTCCTAAGGGTCTTTTCCAAGTGGGAAGGACATGAATCCCATTTGAACCATCGTGCCAAGAATAATTCCTCTATTCAGAAGGAACTCCCCTCTCCCCGCTGGGCCAAGATGCCTGTTCCCCAAGCGGTAGCCCGAGCAAGGGACTCACTTAGCAAACTTGATGCAGAACTGGGTGAAATACTTTCGGGTGGAGGCCAGGTTGTCACGGATGATGGGAACGTTCTGCTTAATGTGCAAGATGACCGAGGTGACGTAGGGACTCTGATCCCCGACGTGCTCCACATTTTGCCACTGCATCTGCCGAGGTCCATAAGAATTGCAAGAAGAGAAAAAAGGAGACACATTTCAGCCCAACATAAGCCTGGGCAGTTGGAGAATTACTGTATGCCTCCCCAGGTTGCAGCATCTGGAGGATAGATGATTATTATGGCTGGTCGCACAGTCAACCAGATGTTCAGACTGCATTTGGCATTTTTATCCACCCATTGCGTCTTTCCCAAGGACCGGAATAGGCAGACGCGGTTGTCTGATGGTGCTAAAGGTATCATTGCAGGATGGAAGCTGTTCCAAGGAAAGCTCCCTTTTGCAATTATTATTATTATTATTTTAAATCCTTCTTCCAACAGGTTTGAGAAGCACACAGGGTTCCCTTGCTTCTCCGTGCTAAACAGATTCACAGCAACTCTGTGAAGAGTTGAGGCGAGGTGGGAGGGAGCATAAACTTCTTAGGGAAGCCAAAAGCTTCACCTCAACCTCCTTACTTCCTAATTCCACAACAGTGGAAAAGTTTTGCCACTGTTACCAGATCTCCACTAACACACTGGATTTGGATCTTGCTGCAAGCGAATTCCCCGCATCTGAAACGTGCTTGATTCCCCTTAGAAATTAAACTGCCCTGGCAACCTTACGGGAGGGTGAGATATCAACCATTACGTGCAGAAGAAAACAAGGTGAAAGAGCCAGGCTGGGAAAAGCAAATAAAATAAAATCTTATCTTAAAGTATGTATTCTGCATGAATCATGTTTTCACCCCATGCGCTTCCAAATACGTGCACGCTCGCACCCACCTATGCAGGACACCCAGCGGCAATGAAAGAATGAGGAAAGAAGAGGCCTGGCTAGAAACGCGTGGAGTCTATTCTACACACCCACACCAAGGCTTGTGTGTTTTGCCACTTCTCCCCGTATTTGCCAAGGGAGGAGGGATGTGTTGACAACCCACCCTCTCTGCCAAAGCAATGGAAGGGGGCATTTAAGAACAGGGCAGGGGAAAGGAGGAAAAAAGTACGAATCAGAAACTACTATGAAACTAAAACTTTACAAAACCAAGCTCAGTTCACTGAAGGCCTGCCCTACTTCCTTCCCTTCCATTCTGCAAACAACCCCCCCCCCCAAAAAAAGAGTTTTAAAACTCCCAGGCACAACAACAATCGCTTTGGGGATCAGCGTCAATCTAGCAAATGTTACACCCTTTTCAAATTGCCTTTTGCTGGGTTGAACGTGGCAACCGTCTTCTTTTTTTTAAGCCGCCTCCACCTCAAAAACCCAATCACGAGTTTCAAGTTCTCTCAGCCACTGTGCCAGTCCCACGGGGGGAGGGGTTTGGAGCAAGAAAGGAACCGAGCATTTCTCCCCCAGCCCCAAACAGAAGACTTCACTTTTTCTAGGCGGAAAAAAATCCCCAAGAGATAATATGAGGGAGAATTATTTCCAAAATAATGAATAAGGTCACAGATTTCAACTGATACGGAGGAGAAGCCTCCAGATAGGAAGAAATGTTCATCCAGGGGTGCAGAACGTGTAAAATTCCTGCACAGAGCAGGGAGGGGTTGACTAAAGACCCTCAAATCCTCCTCAAATTCCCTGAAGACTTTACTTTGCTCATGGCGGTGAGGGCTGGATCACAGGCTCCATCCAAGTCCTGTACCAGAAGCTGGATGCTACTGGAAATCACTCTGAAAAAGAGAGAAAAAAAGACATAATTTTATTTTTGAAACAGGTGCTAGTCTCAGAAGACTGAGCCTTACTCTTAGGGTTATCAGGTGTTATTATTTACTTCTAATTTGCAGCCTGGGAAAAAGGTAAACCACCAGGAAAGTTAGAATAAAAGGAGGGCTTTCTCTTCCTACAATGGCTTAATCCCCACTGAATGGACAAACCACATCCAGGCTTCTACCACTTCAGGCAAAAAAAGAAAGAAAAAGAAAAAGATGGGGTTTGTATTGCTGAGTGCAAATATTTACCAAAAATCCCTGCATACAGAAAACCAGCAAGCTGGAGAAAACTGTTCAGTCTTGTCTCCCTGATATGCTAGCTTTCTACTGCAGAGGAGGACTTTATCCAGCTCCAACCAGGTTGAACTGGACCATGGGGGAACATAACATCATTAAAGGGTGTTTACCTCCTTTATTCCTTCTCCCTTTCTCCCTCTCTAGCACCTTAATTTTTGGAGGGTCCTGTTCCTGGGCACACCAGCTTGGACCTTCCCAAACTGTCTTCCCAATGTCTTCCCAAACATTTCCCATCTCTCTCCAAACAGCTGGCTCCAGAAGATGGGACTTCTTTCTCTGACGCCTCTGGAAGAGCCTGGTTTAGATACAGCTGTCCTGAGACCCTCTTGTTTTCTCCTTCCCCCTTAAGATAAACTTGGTAATTACAGACCCTTTAATTCAGTCATTAATTGCCAGGTTCAACACTTCCAGGGGGAACCGTCGGTCTGCGTGCTAAGCCCCCACTGCACTTTTTCAGAATCTTTTCCACCCACGTAAGGCTTGAGCAGCACTGGGATCTGTTCTCCAAAATGGAGAAACAAGCTAGAACCAGGTCACTTTCATTTCGGCTACTTTTAAACCAAATAAAAGCAAGCATTAACACAATTGCACTCGTCGTGGGCTAAATCTGACACAGATCCAGAGGAGCAAAGCAGATCCAGGCCCGGTTAATACATGGATGGGAGACCAGCAGGAAATCCTGGGACACCAGCCTCGACCGGAAAGTTAAAAAAAAAAAAAAGATTCCCAAGAAGACAGTGGCAAAACGTTCTTTTTAATGTCTTGTAACCCATTCAGAGACTCTAGACTGGGGCAGCCTTTTGTTTTGTCCCTTCAAGTCAGTCTCGACTCTTGGTGACTACGTGGGCAAGTTCCTGAGGTTTTCTTGGCACCGTGTTTGGAACTGGTTTGCCCTTGCCTTCTTCCTGGGGCTAAGAGGGAGGGACTGGCCCAAGGTCACTCTGCTGGCAGGACTAGAACTCACGGCCTCCTGGTATCTAGTCTGGTGCCTCTAATGCAGTGTTTCTCAACCTTGGCTGCTTGAAGAGGTGTGGACTTCAACTCCCAGAATTCCCCCACCCCCATGGCCTGCCGGGGGAATCCTGGGGGTTGGAGCCCCACCTCTTAAAACCAACAAGGGATGGAAAAAACACCATAAAGGGCCCCAGAAAAAG